TCTTTGGTCAAAATGGTGTCATGGAGGTTTTCCATACACATAGTAATACTATTATCCGTATTAATAAATACACCACTATACAGTGCCATTCAGTATGGCACTGGAGAAAGCAGCAGAATCCCTGCACCTCTAGTTCAAGAACACTTTCTGCTGTGCTTTACAATTTGCTTCTCTTAAGCCTCCATTTAACTTTCTTTCCAATTGCAGGTCAAATCCATCACCTAATTCATGCCATTAGATCAATTACTGGCAGTTTGCTAGCACGATTATACCTATATAGATGTAATCAACACTATTTACAAATTGATTAGGCCAATTCCAGTTGTGAGTTCCACTTCATAGCAGGGAAGGGTAAAGGAAAATTGCTGTAAATCATCTCTCTGTCCTCCAGATAGGCAACCTATATGCCCAACACTATAGCACTACAATAGCAGTCCCCAAGGATCCTCCAGAAGACTGACAGACTTCCTACTTCCGTATTTGGTCAGCTAATAATTATCAGAAACTGGGAAAAGACAGAAAATAAACTAATCAACATGAAAGCTACCGAGACAGTTTTTCATTCATTTTGTATGTTCCCTCTTCAACAAGTGAGATTACATTTGTACAAAGGCAGAATCATAACAATCAGTTTAAAGGGTATTCTTCTACTCACACAGTAAGATTTAATTATTTTAGTTAAAGCACTGCTCTAAAACCTTTCAAACACACTCAGACTTACTCAAAGGCTTTAATGCTTATATGCTAATCCTAAACTCTGGTACACATCAATCTATTTATTAGTTGCATGATAAGAAATGGACATAATTAGAAAATGTAATAAAATAAATTTTGCTTTTTTTAAACTTGAAATTGCTCTAATCTTTAAAAAAAGCTCCTTTTGTTCAATATCTTTTACAGTCATTTCACAGTTTTAATGAGATTCTACCTCTCCTATCTAGGAATTCACTATATATTTTACATTCAGTCCACAAGAAAATAACGGTCCCAAGATTCAACTTTAACTCAAGACACTATCATAAAATTGGCCTAGTTGTAGTAATGACATATTAAATTAAAAATGAGAAGCTGGGTACTCTACTATGCAGAAAATCTACAGACTATTGGAAATGCATTGTCTTTATTCTCAGGCCAGCTGTACAAGAGATTAGATCTTTCAATAATCTGTCATAGAATGCTAAATACAAGCCTTGAATCATTCATCTGTCCAGTTTATGACTTGGAGAATTGCATCTGATCCCTTAGAAAGTACATCTAAGCATCATCCACAGCCCGAGACATAGCTACAGTTTAAAACAGTCATGTAACTCTCAGCTGGTATACCATTATGCTACAGAATAACTGAGTTTCCATTGAAAATGTACGTGTGTCTGTATTTTTGGGGAGTGCTGCATGAGAGTCCCAGAAGCATTGCCTTGCTGTCCTGCTCTAGCTTTAAATGCAATTTTAATCATGCCAAAGTCAAGTTTAGCACTCCCACACACTATATTTAGAACCACAGAATAATTTAGGTTGGAAGGCACCTCAGGAGGTCATCTAGTCCAGCCCCCTGCTCAGTGCCGATCCCACTAGATCACGTTGCTCAGGGCCTTGTCCTGTTGAAATCTGAAAACCTCCAAGGATGGAAGGCCACCGCTTCCCTGGACAAGCTGCTCCAGTGCTTTACCACCTTCTTGGGAATTTTCTTTCCCCTTGTATCTGATCAGAACTTGCCGTGTTGCAAGCTGTCACAATGTTGACTCTTGTCCTTTTCCCATGCACCTCTGAGAAGAGTCTGGGTACATCTCCTCTATAGCCCACCAGCAGGGACACAAAGACAGTGATTTTCTCCCTCGGCCTCCTGAAGGAGCCTGGCTCCCGCAGCCCCTCCTTGTACACCCAGCCTCTGACCGTCCACGCAGCCCATCCATGGATCTGCTCCACTTCATCTCAGTGGCAGGACCCTGGCATGACAGCAAACCAGACCCGTCTAAAATCCCCCTCTAGCATGAACATCATCACAAGTGACTGAGAACACACAGTTTAAAGCAGGTTGATTAAAATTAGCCTTCCAAACTCATATTTAGCATCTATTGAAAAATGACCTGGTGTTCAGCACTGCTGATCACTTTTAACTCACTGCATCTTTGCCCATCCAGGTTTTTTACAAGGCCTCCTTCCATCGTAATACTGTACTACATACCACAAGTAATAAAGCAAAACTTTTCTCACTGGATCTGCCATAAGGAACTTGGGATGTTCCTGGGGTCAACATTTCTGATCTGAAGACGTAGCTTTAAATCACTGGATCCTAACAGAATAGAAGCTAATTTTAGGCACCCTCATGTATAAATGGCTAAATGAATTAATTCTTTTTTTCCAGATATAAATATTAGAAGAAATTTTTTGTCCCATAGTGCTACCACTCACAACAAATATGCCTATTTCCACTTACACTGCCTGCCTTCAGATTTGCAGCAGCCTGGTCCAAGGACTGACCCTGAGAATTCAGGAGGAACTTCATTACAATCCTACAACCCAAATATTAGACATGCCATGACCTTGGTGATCCCACCACCAAAAAGCCACAGGAAGAGGAGAAGCCAAGCTGTCTTTTTAAATCTACGCATACACCAAACATACAAAGAAATCAACCTGGTTTACAAAGTTATACATTTCACTTGCCTTAGAAGTAGGGATTTTGTTGCGACAGTAAATACCAGTCCCACCTAACCACATAAGCTGTGGGTCACAGGCATTATTGCACAGGTATCCAGTTTCCAGCCTCTACACCCCGCACAGGTTCCTTGCAATTTAAAGAACAGGCAAAGTGATTAACACTGCTAATCTGGCTGCATTTTGAATTTTGCCTGACTCTTCGACATGGGAGCTCTGGGAGTTTTGACTGCAACATAAGAAGAATTGTTAAGTCTCAGTTTTATCACAGCCTTGAAATACTTGAAGTTTTAAATTAATTACCATCACTGGGAGATAAGTGATTATGCAGCAACCTGTTCTTTATTTTTTTATTATTTTAATTTGGTTCTAGCTGTCATAGTTGCAGGACAAGGTTAAGGGTTTTCAACATTTTAAAAAGTCTCCTCATCCATTTTCTGTGTGAACAACATAAACATAATTCAAATAGTAAAAAAGAGGCTCCAACCTGTATTCTGTTTTATGAATACAGATGCTACTGCTTGTGATTTCTCCCTTAATCTTCTTGCGTGTTTACATGGCCGAATTGATAGATCTCAGGGGCACGCATAAGATTTTTGCTTCTGCTTGTATACTACCTGGTAAACTGATGACACTACAGTAATTTAAAAAAAAATAGTAAAAGATTGTTTAAAGTCCTAGAGATACACTATAATACCTTGCTTTTGAGCAAGAATGCAAATCACATGCCTTTTGTTGTGAAGCTGCCTTCCCAGGCTGTTGGGAAAAGCAGATAAAGCAGAGCAGTTCCACTCACCAGTGTAGACCCCATGAAAGGGAAAAATATTAGAGGAAAAAAGAAAAAATACTCCCACAGCAAGTGATACTCCTCTTGGAAATGCCAGAATCAGCCTCACTGATTTTACTGCTGTGGTGGGGGAAACAGGATGCCATTGACAATGCCCGTAGCTGAGCATCTCCTACCAAACCAAGGTAGGAACCAAAAGCATCTCACCAATGTGACTGGTATCAGGGGACCCGAAACTGGCCCCCCAGCCCTCCACCACTTGGAGTGAATCCTGAGCTGCTGGATCCATCTGCCTATCTTTTTCCATAATACTGAATTTTCCAGCCTGTAGGCAACTGACAGAGCAGATGTCACTGAAACGACTTAACGCATTAAGCTGCTATTTGTTTAATTCTGATGTGGAAAATGTGTCACACTCCAAATAGTTTAGTATGTTAATGTACCACCGCAGCAACCTACAGCCATCTTTTATAATTTTATTCTAGACCTATTTGCTTATTTATTTCATTTTAAATCATAATTAAAACCTGTTTTCTTCTTCCTACCTGCATTGTTTAAGTGTACTCTTATCTTCACCTTTAGTTTCCTCAAGCTGAATAAACAAAATTATTATCTCAAATAAACATTTAATGTCCTAGCATATTTTATCTACAATTCATTTGTATTAAACGACATAAGACAGAGGTGAACTTCCATAATAATTTGCAGCACCATAGTTCATTGATGAGGGGGCTCTGGGGGTTCAACTTTAAGGAATAACATTCTAATATCTATGTCTGCACAAGAAAGCTGATGAAGGCTATATTTGGAATTCTCTAAAATCTAAAATAATCTTATTTGAATCAAACTTTTTCAAAAAAAAAAAAAGACTCTTCAAATTTTCAATTCTAAGGTCAGGGACTCTTCCAAGCAATAGGACCATACGTGACAAAGAGCGTATCTAGTCTCGAATTTGAAAATTATTCATCTCAAAAACATTTAAGGAATCAATTTTAGAATAACTTTTAAAACTATGATGAGCACTCCAAATGAGGAATTCCAATCTGTAAACATGAATAATGTCCATTTCAAACTAAGGGCACAATATAATGCCTACTAAATTTAACTCTTTTGTGGATTTGCATCAGTTGTTGCAGCCTTATTAGCTTGACGAACTATAAGCATGTATTAGTAAAATTAATCCTCTTGCATGTAGCTGCACTCCTTTGATAAGTCAGCATCCCTAGCATTAGCACTTCTGGTTTCCTGAGACTCTCTGGGCATGCATAAGACAAATTTAACTTGCCAGCGCCTTACCCTGATGCTTTGCCATGGCATATTTTGACAGCCATTCCCTATGGGGGCTGCAGGCTGCAGGGCTGGCTGCTATTTCATCAGTGGCTTCATGTCAACAGCCTTGAAAATAATCCTTCTGAATTTCTTAAAATAAACTATAAACTTGAACAAATTTTGGAGTACACTTTTCAAAATATAGCTTCTGAGACATAGGCTTCCATGGTTTGAAGCCCAGTTAAAGCCCATTATTATAAAGCACTGAGGACTTTCTGCAAAGAAATACCTGTCAGCACTTTTCTTTACACCAGGCCCCTTCAACTTGATGGTGGTCAAACGCTCGCTCCTCGCCAACAAGACTGCAATGATCCCCGAGTGCAACACGTGCAGACACAACCTGTTGTGAGCCACCTCGGGAACAAGGCTAAACTTTGGGAAAAGGCTTCAAACGACACAAAAGCTGAAATGAGCTTGTTCAGCAACGCAGTTCTTGATAACCACTCTGGGCTGGCGCTGTGCTGGTCCCCAGCAGACACCCCTGGTGTGACCTGTCTGCTCCACATCTCATTTGAACGGTTCTCATTATGTAGATGCTCTTTCCCCCAGTATTAAATTATACCAGTGTTTACACTCTTCTAGAACGATGAAATGATTAAAACTTGATTACAAACACATGAATATAGGAACATGATGCTGCCACACAGAGAGCATTAGGGGACAATCAGTGTGGTGCACTTCGGTCAGACTTTTCTTAAAATGAACATGGTTATTTCAATCTTTTTTTGAACAGAAGTGCTAAGTGTGGCTTGGATTAGGTCCACTTTATCTAGACAAATGTATCCAGTAAGCAAGCTTGACTCAGTACAAGCCCACAGGACTGAAATAATCTTCACCCCAATAACTAAGCTTTCAGGTCACCGGGGAATACAAAAGCTGACATGCATTATCAGTCTGATCTGGAATGGATCACAAATATTTTCCAAATTACCCACTGTATTCATGTGATTATAACTGATGAAAGCTGCAAAAATTGAAAAATTGGAAAGTTGCCTCCATCCCCAGCTTCCCTTTCCGGCTGGGAAAGGGAGATGGGTGAGTAGAGAGAAAAACAGGGGCTTTTCCACTTTTCTGCATGTATCTATAACACTGGCCTTTAGGGAAATACTAACTTAAGCCTGCCTCTAGAGCAGAGAGCTGCATGTTATCTCTTTGCCACGATACGTCACCTTTAAAGAGCTTTAAACAACTGGCAAGTGACAGTGGCAGCTGCTGGCAGGGGTCTGCCAGGACAGGCGTCACTGCGGGCTGCACAGATTCCTGGGTGGGGCTGCACGCTTGCAGCTCGGGTGCCAGTACGTGCAGCCGTTTCCTACCATGTAAAAATAAAAATTAAAAAATAAAATAAAATTAAAAACAAACAAACAAACAAACAGAACACCAAAACATTTTCCAGGGTTAGGTTCTTGTGGATTTTTTTTGGTTTTAAGTATTTTACATGTGCAGTCTTATCTGATGGCTGATCTGTTGCAATCTTGATTTCTTTTTGGAACGAAATCTCCTTGTGGATATGATCCAGAGAGAAACAAAAAGCAAGTGGAGAATATTTAGGCTGCCTTGGGCATGGAGTTATCAACAGGAAACTGGCTTTGTTGCAGTTGGTTTTTACAAGCCCAACTATTCCCTCCTTGAACTGCTGGACAAGCTAAGGATCAGATATTATTTTTCAAAACTTAGTGAAAGATAGCAAACAAATTAAGCTTTTATTTTCCTTTCTGACAAATGTCAGCCACTCATGCCAATGCCAAAAATAACCCAAAACGTATTAAGCCTTATACATGTGAAGTCAGAGTGACCTAGTAGATGCAAAATTTAATTCAGACTTTGGTATTTCAGATTCTTTTCCTCTTGACTAATCGTACCAAACACAATTCACAAATCTCTTCTCAGTTCTCCTGTGTGTACAAGCAAATTCCCTTCTCTTTCAAGAGCTTTGCAGTCAATTCGCCAAAAAATACTATTAAAAAGCTAAATACAGCCATAAAAATACACAGCACCAACAGTAACATAATGAAATTCCACCAAAAAGAAACATTGACATCAGAGAACATAAATGTGAAGAGTGATACATCCTACCAAAAAAGGAAGGAGTTCCTGCAAATATGGCAGAATTTTCCTAAAGAGATGATGTTATCTTCCAGCTTGGGACTAAAAATAGTACAGCTGTCTATATAGCCCACAAAGCCAGAGACAGCATCTCCTCCAAAAAGTTTACAAACAATACAAACTGCAGTCTGATGAAATACAGAGAATATTAATATAACAGCAATTACCCTATTAATTACATTACTTGTATTTAAAAGAGTTTTCCAATTTTTTATTGCATTTTAATGATTTCTTTAAGGCGTAACATTTTAGGATGCTTACATAGAAGTATGCAATAAAAAGTCTAAACAAATTGATGAAAAGAGACTTTAACACTGACAGCAATATGCAATAGTCGCCATGGAAGCAGCAGAAGAGATTGCAGCCTGGAGACAAAAAGGAATGAAACACATCGGGTGACTTGTTTATGGGTCAGTACAACAGCTCTCCTGCATGCGCCGCTCTCACTGTCCATCCAAAGTCCTCCCTCCCTACTGCTCAAGTGCCATACATAGCTGTCAAATTGAAATGCCAAATAGCCTGTGACCAATATAGGTTCTTTGGTAACTGTTAATACTTCATAGGTACCATAATACAAGGCAGTGGAAATACTTTCCATATCATAATTTTTTTCCATAGCATAATTACCCTAGAAAATTCATTTCTCTCTATATATAATTTCCCTAGAAAATTCATAGGGACTACCTGTTAAACCTCAGTCCTTTGCCTCCTAGCACAAGAGTCATCACCTGCCTCCCAGATCCACAGCACAGAGCCACAGGGCAAGCTAAGAGTAGGAAGCTTGCTTTTACAAGGTTTGCTATTTACCCACTGCTAAGGTCTCTGTAAGCAACACTGGATGTGCAACTCCTTAAAATTAATTCACGGGTTCACTCACGGAGAATAGGTTCAACTAGAGAAAACAGAAAATTATTTTTTTATTAAATAAAAATATAAACCAGTGCAGCATTTTCTAAGCAAGCAGAGTGATTAGTACAGAAATGGACTATACGGAGAAGCAATAGGTTCATTATCTTTTATTGTCTTGAGGGAAGACAGCTCTGCTTTTGCAAACAAACCTGGGACTGCCTCCAATATATAGCATTCCTATATATTTCCAAAAACATTAAGTACTTTTGTATTTAGAAAGGCTCTAAGAAGCTGCCTTTTTCTAACTCCTAACAGAATGGGTAAATCAAGCAAGTATCCAACCAGCGTTATGGCAGCTCCCGACAGCTTTAGCTTAACAGCCAGGCTTCTTCTGCCAACTTAAATTTGCAGCTCGTGCTGTTTGCTGCTTTCTAAAATAGGCATGACTATGGCACACTTCTACATCTATGTAGACCTTGTGTGCTTCAGCGACAAGATGCAAAGCCCAGCCGAGCGTTTCTTCAGAGTTGGCAGCATCACCTTAACGTCAGTCTCATTCTTTACAGGACACAGACCGTGTTGTTCCCATGGAAAATCAGCCTTGACCTTGGAAGAAAGCTCAGGCATATCACAAGTGAACATTACAGATCTGTGGAAAGAAACGTGAAATGGGTGCCTATTGCTCCAGTAGTTTTCCTGAAAATGTAGCATATCACTTCAGTCCAGAAATATTATTTAATCCCAAAGTTTAGAAATAATGGGAGTTAAGGGTCCTCAGCACAACCTTGGTGTTGGTCTCAGGTCAAATACAACTAATAATATAGACACAATCAAAGCTACAGCACTGTAACAGGGTAGCTCTATTAAGATATTAAGCTCTATTAAGAAATTAATAGAATTTTATTGTTAGGCTGGCTTTCTGCGGACAACGAAATTAAGGCCACACTACCAGGAAAGAGGTAAAATTTGGCATTTGAGGTGATAGATCACTTAGTACCATCTTGAAAAACATTCAAGACCAAGACAGACAGTATTAGCTACTGTTATCTTTAGCTCCCAGGTCAGGACGATGGGCACAGCTGGACACAGGCAACTGGGCCACACAGACATTTAATCTGAACTGGCACAGACAGTGCTATGATCTTAAATAATGACAATAAATGTGGCATACAGCAAATTGAAACACAAATGCTTATTACTAAAGGTCTTATGGTTCGTAAGGACAGAAGCCTTAAAGATGCTAGAAAAGCTTTGGTTGTTCTCACGGTTGACAACACATTAAGACAGTCTCTGAGATGCTTGCTATCTCAGTTTTGCACTGTGAAAAGCCATGGCTATTAGGCTAAAAATGTTAAAGTGTTTACATCTAATTCTGTACTAAGGCACATAAACGCATGCCCTGGTTTCAGAGCGACAAAACACTCTGCAGTTCACTGTGATTTCACCCAAGGGTGATAGATGCTTAATACTTCCTAAAGTCCCAGCAATGATGCAGAAGCCAGATGTTCCCACCAAACTCTGTCCCAGTCGAGGAAGGACTCTGCACCTGCACATACACAACCCATGAGAGAGGTCTGCATCTTTAGGCAACTGTTCAATAGATCTGTGGGCATAAACCCTGCTCCTCCACTGGGCCTGGTGCAGGAGAGCTTACAAATGTTGAAACATGAAGCTCATACTAGTTTTTCTCCAATTTTCCAAGACAGCAACGAGCCATCAAAACATGGCCAGGAAGGCTGGTTGGTAAACGGACAAGCAAAACATTCAAGATCTGCCTATACATCTCTGTAGCAGCTCAACAGGAGCTCTGCAGTCACACTTAAGGATGGCTTCAGATACTCAGAAAATTTTGGACCAGATGTCCAGAGGTCTGGCTCACAGCAAGCCAATCTTCAAAGTTAGGTCAGGTTGCTCAGGCATTTGCCAATCAAATTCGAAAATTTCTGAGGCTGGAGATTTCCCAGCCTCTCTGGGCACCCTCCTTCAGGGTTCAGGCATTGTCACTGTGATTTTTCTTTCCTTACAACCAGTGGGAATTTCCCTTGCTACACTTCCTGACTGTTGCCTCTTGCCCTTTTTCCATTCACATGTGAAAGAAGCTTGGCTCCATCTTCCCTCTACCCACCTATTAGGGGGTTGAAGACCAGAATTCAATTCCCCTAGGCCTTCCCTTCTCCAGGTGGAACAAAAGTAGACCTCTCCACCTTTCCACGCACACCACACACTTGAGGGATGCATACAGCAGCTCCTATCATCATGCACACTGCACAAACCCTGGTAGGATTTGGGGTGGGACTCTGTTGACCAAGTGGGTGGGAACGCTGTACCGAAGTGTACACTATTAGTCATGGAGAGGTTCAAGACAGCACGGAAACCAACACTGCTCTCTTATCACCAGTATTTACCCTCCGCCTGCGCTCAGGCGCACTCCTGTCGCTGCTCCAAAGCCTACAGCAGAGCACGGGGTTTTGTTTAGCCTGAGCAAGGCAGGAGCCGCTGAGCACACCGAGGCTCAGAGCGCAAGCAGAAACCCTACAACTGGCACTCCTTGAGCCTGACTTATAGCCAGGTTAACAGATAGCAGAACGGAGAGCATATGTGCGAGTCGCAGGGGTGAGGTGCTGGAGTCACTGCCAGACACTCGCTACAACTCGCAGCGCAGACAGACGCAGCCCCAGCTGTTCCCGATTGCCTTGTATCCCGGTTATGGGATTTGGCTGCAAAGCCTTTTCCATTCCCGCCTTCCTGTCATCAAGGGTAATAGTGGCAACACGGCCCGTTTCTATGGTTTCCTTTGGTCTCTGTGCCCTACACAGTTATAAAGATTAAATCCTCTGTATCTGTGTTGCATCTAGAAGTGTAACCCAGTGACTGCTTTAATGCTGCTGGTATTGCAAAGCCAAACATCAGAGCAAGGCAAACCCTACAAGACTCTCTGAAGCCAAACTTGTCAGCTGAATGCTATCAAAAATCCTCACCGGTCTGTTACAAGGTAAACAACAGAAATACCTGTTTGACTTGCAGGTCCCAGATAAGTCTGCAATACTGAGAACATCAACAGGAAAAGAGGTAGAGAATTTGTAAACAGAGCAAAGCAAATGAAAGGAACTGAGATGAAAGAAAAGATGAAACCGTAAAAATATTTTTCATTGCTTCTACAGCATTCACATCCTTTTAAACAGCAATATTTGCAGCAATCTGGGATTTATAAATGTACCTCAATAAACTCCCTTGACAGAGGTAAAATAAGTCAAGCGAAAACTGAAGCAGTCTGTGATCAAGAACTCTCAAAATTAACCCCTGCATCTAAGGCTGCCTATTCATTTAGCGTTCCTCAGCAGAGAAGATCCCACCATATATTTAGACATTAACTATTAAACTGCCTTATGTATTACTTCTGAAATTCCCTGCTATCCATGAATCCTCAAGTCATATACCTGTGAGGGGAAGGAGGTATATGACCTATTTTCTAAAGTGACAAAAGTTCTTGCATAACAGGTTCTGTGGCTTCTTCTTCATGTGGTATGTATCAAACATCAACTCCTTCTACTTCACCAAGGATTTCAACATATGAACAGTGTCACAGGGATTTTACTTTGTCATCCTCTGAAGCAGGCTTGAAGGAACACAACTGCTGTATACTTAGTGCTCCACATTTATACTATAGCCACTTATTTCACTCCATAAACCAATATGGGTAAGGAATGTTATTTTATTCCCCTCCCCCCCGCCCGCCCCAAAGCTCAAACGAACTTGACAAGAAGGAAGAGGAAGAACGTGGGACAATCACATTTCATCCTCTTCTGAAGTGTTAGAAGTAGTACTTGAAAACTTCCTAGGAAACTGGATGCTGTATTTGTGATACAGCAGCAACCAAGATACCACATTTGTTCCTCATATCCACCATGAGGAGCAATTGCGATTTGTTACTTTTTTACAATCACAGTATTACTTAAACCTAAAAATACAGTTTCTAAATGGCAAAAAAAAAAAAAAAATCCATATTACAAGAACAGTAAAGTCTTTTTAAAATATCACCAGTGATATCTTACAATTCAGGATTGTTTATTTTTCATGGCCAATTGCATTTACACTTTGTTTTGCTTCAACTACAGGTCAAAAAATTTGTCCTATAGGATCAGAAGCATCTTCAAAATAGAGTTATTGATCAATCTGACTAATTCCAGTAGAAGAATGATTTGCTTTTTATAGAGAAAGGGAAAAAAACAGCTCCTAAATCAGATAGAAATATTCACTGAATGGAGTTTATATTCCTCTCACATTCCTTTTCTAAAATGGAAAAATAAATAACCGTGCTTTGTGCAAAACAATACTCCATCCAGATTTCAGAGCACGAACACCAACTAATAAGCTGTGAGAAAAACATTCCAATATTTCAGATGATAACAGTTAAGGACCTTGACACACTGCTAACGGATCTTGACATGGGGAATAATCTAAATTCAGAAATATTTGCCCTAAGGTTATATTTAAGGATGCAGACAGCAAGCCAGCAAATTGTCCAATAATTTCAAAGGCCCATCCATTTCCCTGCATCTGACACCAGGCTTGTGTAGAGACACGGCCCTATGGGCTGTGCCCCCTCTCACCCGGGCGCTTACAGAGCTCTGCTTCGGAAAGCCCCAAGCAGCACAGCCCATTTCCACACAAGTATGTTTCATTCATTATTGCGAGTGCTGGATGCTTGGTTTGAGAACCCACGGTCTGAAGGTGAGTTAACGGTACCAGCAATCCCCTAGCAGGACTGGAAAATGCAGCAGTGAGCTTAAAGTTAACAACAGCTGAGAGAGATGCATTTCCATTGCTAAAAGCCTGACTTTGTGTAGTGTAGAGGAGGAATGACTTGTCAAAATAGGCAAAATTAAAATCAGGGTTTCCTCACTTCTCTTTGAATGTTGACCAGCCCATGGCATAGAAGAAGGTAAGAGAGGGAAAAGGTTACCTCAGTAGCCATGCTTTGATCAATTTTTCAATTTTCTTTACATTTCTTAGCCCTCTATGTTTTTATGACAAGTTGATTATTGTGCATTCAGTACATAAGCCACTAATGCCCTGAGAAGCAAAACTGAAAGTATACTGACTTTAACATTGTATTGAAAGGGCAGTCAGGTGTGTACAGATACCAGCCATGGAGGATGCCCACTACTGTACAGATGCTGCACTGCAAACAGGCAAATTAGCAAGAAGTAGATCTTGCTCACCAAGCCAAATATCTGGGTTTTTTAAAGCAGAACTAGCCACCTTTCCAGAGGTCTGCTGCAGTGCTGGGGCAGGACGTGAAGGCCCATGGCAGCCAGGATGTCCTGCGGTCAAGAGTTACCAGCTGATGTACCATCAACTGATAACCTCTTCTGACCTATTTCATCCTCTCATAACTGTGCTGTACGTTCTTACAATCCAAGAGCATGACGCCTTTTAACTGACGTCATACACTGAGATGAAATCCTTTTCTAAAGAGCTGTAAAGAAGAATCTTCAACCAAAAACCTTAAAGAATCCTAAGATATGGCTTCCTATTTTTTTTCCAATCTAAGAAATTCTATACAGTCTACGCAATTCAACTTCAGAGGAAGAAAATACCATCGGGGAATACGTGTCATTGCTTATTTTTTCAAGGAGACATGGTCAAAATGACAATGAAATGAAGTTGTTCTACTACTTGGAGGATTGCAAGTTATAATCTGCACACATTCATCAGCTGGAGAACTCCAAAGCAAGTCGACCTCTTGCTGCTCCTATCTAGTAATTCAATGCTCTCTTCTACTAGTGCTCAAAATAAAGGGTTGAAATTAAAAAACTGTATCTAACTATAAAATATATTACAGTCTGAAACAGTTGCACTAATGTCTCCAGAGCGTATTCCTATAGGTGTATTTGCATGGGAACTTTGCAAATGAATTAAGCATCTCCCAAGCAGAGCAGGACCCTGCGTGACCAGGCCGCATAACCTCTTTTGTAACCAGAATCGCCATGTTCCTGCTCCATTTGGGCTGTGACACTCCATTAGCTGTTCTCTGATCCATGCAATCAAGTTTTCCCTCTAATATAATAGTTTAAAGACTAAATAGCCCTGTGCATTTGTGCCATGACATTTAATTTAATCTAATCTAAGATAATTCACCTCGTATGTAATTAGCTCTGTGATTCCTTTTTTTTGCACTTAAATAATAGACACTATGTTACCCTATTTCTGGGAATTGATGGGAGTCTAATTTTCTCAATCTCAATTTTTTAACCTAGTCTGTTCTTGCTGTGATTTCAAGATGGCAAAGAATTGAAATATTACACTGAAAACCATATTATAAACTCTTAAAAGTACATTTAGAATCCTAAAAGCACAGCCATGACATGTAAATCTCTAGGTATAAAAAGCAGTGAACGGGCTCTATCTTAGAAATAGTTTCAGCCAAGATCAAAGTATGTGGAAGGCAGCTGAGGAAAATCACATGTGGAAAAATCTAATTACAACATATGTAATAATGCATTTGAGCTGTGTTTTACTATGCGACATGGTCATATGCTTTCTAGATTTAAAATTACAGTATAAGCCTGCAGTCCATTAACACAGAATGATGGTTCAAAGTATGCAGTACTGAGCCATTTTATATTACCTGTATCTATATAATACGAACTAAATAATGTTTACCAAATATAAGCATTTCTACACCTAACACCAAATCTTATGGTTATAACAGCAAGGCAGCATTGCAAGGTTGGCTGAAATTCTCTTGATATAGATATGTAATGCTGTGTTGCATCAGCACAAGAGGGGACATAGACTGAGCAAAGGTTCCCAAGTAACAAGCACAGATCCACAACAGTTCACTCCATCTCAAGAGCCACAGGAAGAGCAGGGATTTCTCCAGGATCATCAAACAGTGCAGCAATTCCTTGAACCTTGTGTCAGGCTGATTTTAATACCACACTGCACCCTTATTTTCTTTGCAGAACCAGAAACATCTTTCTGTTATAGTAAACATCAAACATCGAATTACAGCCTCTCCATAGTAATTTCAGTGGAAATCTTTTGGAAACAGTGATTTTAGTCAAACTGTGGCATTAAATTCGCTGTACAATACTTGCCTCAATTGATGTTAATGGAAAATTTCCATTGATTTTGCTTAGTAGATGTGGGCTCCTCACATTTAACTTATCATGAAAATTGATTGTAAATTGTTTACATAGCCCACATAGACACGCAAAATCAAAATTTGGAAACATCAAAGCTAAACCTATACTTAAACCCAGTACTCCTAAAACTGCCAGTTATACTTTCAAATGAGAGCTAAGAACTCTCAGGGGTTTTTTTCCACTCTCTTTTTTCCCAGGACGTTATTTTTATCTTGGCACCGTTCATTTTTGCTATTTCATTTACACCATGTTTTGTGCAATTACTGACATAGAATTCTGTCAAGTCTCCTCTGCACAAGACTGCTATGCACTAACTTTTCTACTGGGTTTATAAATTTACAATCTATTTAATTGGTGTTTTAAATATTATAGAGATACAACTTTGGACTTTAATATTCCAGCCACAGTTCTACCACTACAGAATTTAAATGTTTCACAGTATTCCATACTCTTCAGTTCAAAATTACAGACAAGTAACAGAGCACAGAATTCTGTGCCGGAGTTTAATCAGCTCCAACGCAGATGTCACCATCTGCATTAACCATCTCGATTCCCTTTCAAGACAGAGAACAGACTCGGGATTT